ACCTGGAATATGAGTACAGAAAGCAGAGGGCCAGTAGCAATTTGATGGCTCACGGAATCCCACAGCATGAAATAAATGAAGATGGTTCTTCTAGTAGCACTGATGGTGAAGAAAATGATGAATTTGGTCATGGTGGAGCAGAATCTGGGGAAGTGATCCATAATGACGCTGTCAATGAACAATCTGGTAGTGAGGGTACACGAGGAAGATGGTTTTTTGCAGCTGCTGCACCTGTTGTCGGTGTTGTTGGAGTTGTTCTGCTGTTGTGGTTAGGTAACCCATTGATGGAGAGGAGCCTTAGTCTCCCTATTTTCTGCTCACAAGGGAGACGTACAAATCAATCTTTTCCCTCTCAGCAGGTTAATAACCGAAGCAGGAAATGGTGGTCTCTGTTTTAACTTTTTATTTTTTAGTTTTGATCCGTCTGTTTTAACATGTTACTGATCATTAGATTGGTAAAGCTTCAAAGAATAGGTTTTACTCGGTGAAGAAACCTATTCGAGGCACTATATAGGTCCTATGTTGTGAACACAGCGGTTTGTATTTGGATCTTGTCGATCTCATCAGTATTCAATGTGGGAGCTTATTCTGCTCTTGAATAAATAAGGGCAGGTTAGATGACCTCGGTTGACATGCTAATTTGTATTTACTAGTTGATTCGCTTTTCACATTTTCATTAATATTCACCACCCAAAATTTGGACAGATTCTGAGGGTTGCACATCCTGTGGTACTACTGACTCCCAGCTGTTATATAGTGGTTAAAATGCTTGAGATCTTCCCATTTACAGCCTTCTCCAGAACGTCAAGCTTTTGCCATATTTGAATTATGATATTTCTGTTCTGAGTCTACAAAGTGGTGCTCAGTCCATCTCTGATATAAACTTTTCTGAGTTAGCACAAGTTGCTTTTAGAATATGAAGCAGCAAACAGCGGATAATGATCAATATCTTCACTATCAATAATTATTTATAGTTGTAGCTGGTTTTCCTACATAATAAATACATCTTCTCGAGTAACTATTAACAATGATGGCATAGAAGCAGCAACTTTGGATAAGCTGGAAGAATCTTAGGAGAGGAATATAAAATATCTTCATCAAAATCCTTCCTTCGTTTATGATTCAAAAGAGTATGTTGAGATAGAGGGTTATCCATCCGGCCATAGAGAACACAGCAAAGATATGAACCCAGAACAAGATAGAAGCTGCCTCTTTCCCACATCCTCTCAAGTTAGCAACAGCACCTACCAACCAGACCAGAAATAATCGAACTCAGTATACAAATAATGAGGTTTTTAATTGATAAGTAAACAGTATTCTTACCAGAAAGTACAGATGTGGGCATAGTGTGCTGGAGAAGTAAAACAAATCTGAACATTTTATCATCAGTGGGAAGGAAGCCAAGCTTATCAGCTAACATAACTATGCTAAGCCCAGTTGGAGGAACCAATAGCAGCCGCCCAAAAATAATGGCAGCAGTTGTCTTTAGACCAAGCTTTGCACTTCCAGTTCCTGGTCCTGTACATGATTAAATATTAAGCACATGGCATAAGATATTGACACACGTAAATGAGCTTTATCACGAAAAAGGTAAAAAATGAGTGGACTCGCCATTAACAAGGTTGCCTCCTAAAGCCAACAATATGCAGGGAATCATGGCGTCCCTGGTAATAAGTAATACAAAGACATCACATTATTTAGTTCACTAAGCATCATCATACTCATAAAAAAGGTTCTATTGACATTTACTTATGTGAGAATAGCTTGAAGGATCAATTTCATATGAATAGCTTAGGATGACAGAAAATCTTAAGAAACAACATAGATGCCATTACTGCAGGAACTTTTGCATGTAGTGCAAAACCTTAGTAGCTTCATAAAACAAATTCTGTAATGAAATCAACTTACCCAAGAATCAAACAGCTGTCAGTGAAGAAGTAAAATGGAGCATCAGAAGTAAATATCTGTCGCCTTAAGACTGGCACACAGCCTATGATAATAGCTAGGATCTGTTGAAATGATAAACAATTCATATGCTCTGAATTAATGAAATACTAAACAACATAATTTCCCAAAGTTCCAAACATTGAAAGTCCGTCTATCTGAAGAACAGTTAGATATACAGATAAAACATTTGTTTCTGAAAATTTAAGTTACATTAGAAGTGGTATATCTGCTTAATAGCATTTTCGCAGTAATTTACACATCAAGCAGCAAGTCGAAGCTGTTAAATGAAATTTCGATAGTACCCCAAGAAGACCATACCTAAACATTTGGTCAGTAAGAACCCATGGTTCAGAACTTTGTGATTAAGGTTATGAAGCTCTTTTATTTCTAAATGCTAAGTTGCTTAGACTCGGTTTGCGGGTATCTGATACGGGTGCGGATCTAAAGGTCGGATTCTTAATGATCTAAATTTTAAGATTCGTAGGTACGGATACAAGTGTGGGGATTCGGCTAAAAATAATTCAAATAGCTAAAATTAGATTAATAAAAATGTCTAAATTATGAGACATTATGTGGAAAACTTACAAGGTATTCCAAAAAAGAGAAAATATTGATCAAAAGAAGAATCCAAGTAGATAAAAAGGAAAATGACTGATAAAAAAATTTCTATACACAAGGTATTCTATTTTTTTCAATTTCACCCTATCTTTTGTTTTGATTTAAAAAAACATTGTATCCATCTCGAATTTCTCCATCGATTTTGGTCAAAGTACCCAAAATTGGTTGACCAGATCTGGTACGGACCCCACACCCACACCCACACCCATGTCTTGTCAACACAACACCGAAAGTGAAGAGTCCGAGCAACTTAGCTTAAATGTACTGGCAAAAAATTGCCTATAAACAGAAAGTGAAGCCTTCCCAAGCATAATATCTTACAAAATATGTTAAACAAGTAAGAAAAAGCGTTCTTCAGCCGAAATCAATTTGTAAGATAATTTGTCAGTGAAAATATTCTAGACCCCACTTTGTGAGATTACACTGGATTTGTTGTTGTTGTGTTGTTGTTTTGTCGGTGAAAATATTCATTATGGAGCACCAAAATGAAGTCAGTTGAAAGAAGTGAAATCATCATGCATGTCCATTCCAACATATTGAACTTACAGAAGCTATAATGGGGGGTTGAATGATTTGCTTGAGTTTCAGTTTCTCATAGAGAAATTTAAAGAAACTTTTACTCTGCAAAAAAAAAAAGAGACGAGCAATGAAACCGTCAGTATCAGTACAATAAAATCAAACTTGGATCACTGAAATCCATATCAAAATATTAGTATCACATTGCATTATGAGAATCCAGGATCCAGAAAACAACAGAAAGATTAATTATCCTTCATCACTATGTTGACATCACGAGAGAGATTGGATCCTTTCGTGTTGATCCAATCATCCATCAAAAGTTCCCCAGCTAGTTTGGGATTCCCCAAATTGTTTGCGACTGAGGCATATTTATTATTTTTGTTATCACTATGTTGGCATAAAACAAAAAGATATGAACCTACGGCAGCATCCAGTCATCTATCAACTGTAATTCAACCCCTAAAAGCAATGAAGAGACACCATCAAAGCCTTCATCTTATTGGTCAAAGTGAAAGGCTACAGTCATGCCTCAATGTACAAGCAAGTTAAGGTTGAATTTTGAAAACCTCAAAATCATAAGTTTAATATTCCAGTGAAAATCCATGATTTACGGATATGAAATTTGTAGATTACAGTTAAAGTAATCACACATTAATTTTGATTCATCCAGAAACACCTAAGCGAGAATTTGAGATGTACTAAACATGACTCTTAGATATCTAGCTATGGATTTGAAATCCTTATTCACCAAAAAAGTAAATGGTCTAGATTTTTTAAAAGTCAATTCACTTCAAACACTGCAAAAAGTGCATGTGCACCTAAATGTGAACTGGTTGCACTAACCACCACTCTTGGATATCTAGGTATTATTAGGAGTCCTAATTCACCCAAATGTAATTACTCTAGATTTTCAAACTCAATTCACTTGAAACATTGCAAATCCAGATGCACCTAAATGTGAAATTGGTTTGTGATTATCTTTATTTGAATTAAGTTCTCTGAAGAGTAAAGGAGCTTTTGATGGTTAGGAGAAGCCTGAGTGCCATAATCATTCAGGGTCTTTAACAAACAGCATTTTCTGTTTACAAGAAGCTATACATGTTACTAGAATAACCGAGGAATATCGCAAGAGAAATCAGTTTACGGCATGCTTTGAACCCTACTACCAAAATTTTAAAGCTCTTCTCCGGTTGCATAAGGGGCAATCTTTTTTGTAACAATGACATTATTGGCAAAGGGGCAATTTATCTAAACATAGCACAAGGCAGTCTCACCTTTTCTTCCGTTGAAGCACTTGGGCCAGCTGTTGTGAGTAATGGAACTTTCTCTGTGGAACTACCCATTGGATGGCTATCTTTATTAGGAGTCTTGATGTGAATATTTCCATCTTCAACATCAAAGGTACCTTCACGAGGAGGTGCGAGCATATGAAATACATAGGTGTACACGACAATTGCACCAACCTAAGCACAAATAAGACAATGAATCACTGTTAACTTTGGCAAAAACAGTTTTGTGTACTTCAAAAACGTTTATAGAAAGATTCAGGAGTCATTACTTTTAGAGCTATGTGTTTGACACAAACTACTATACTATATTGCCTAATAATTTCTAGTGAAAACTCTGGGGGTTCTATCTTTTCAGGGGAAGGTTTGACAGAAAATGAGAAGCAGGACAAGAAGACCCATTGGTTGGTCAAATACACTCCAAAATGAACACGAGATTTCTGCACTCCGGTCAGCCAGGACATAGTGTGAATAAGAAATTTAAACGATTTAACATGGAACATGGCTCAAAATTTCAAAAAATAAATGAATCAAATGTTTTGGTGTCTAAATGCATTAATAATGTACACATCTCCACAAGAATCTAGACTTCGTACACAATTGATGCTTCTAATGGAACATAGCTAATAGGATATCGGGAATATAGTGATAGTTTTTGCGTTGTCCTTGATGTTTCTACATCTTCTCGGGAAACTGAGATATCCACTAAAGTATGTTTCAGTCAGACACGAGAATGCGTCCAAAGTTCATAATGACGGAAATGCAAAATAAGTAGTAGTAGAAAACCTCAAAAGTGTCAAGAAAGAAAAGATGTATAGAACTACATTAATCAAAATGGATGGCAAAGATCCAAAACATTAATTCTAAAGTATTGCATACCCACTGGCCAAATGAGATGTATGCATTTCCATCTCGAGAGCATTTCTCATAGTCACCAAAAGGATTTTCTTTATCTCGACATAATGCTGCAATCAGGACTAGAGGTACATTTCCAATATTCCCTGCATTACAAGTGTAAAAATTCATAATGCATCTGATCATGTAATGAATTCCAGATGCCAACACATATAAATAGTATAAACAATTTACAAGCTTATATGTGAACTTTCAGCCATATTACAAATTTAGTTATGTTTTAAGCATACCATACATAGAAGGAACCTTTAACTATTATTATGACGTTAGGTGTACTGTAAAAAGAAAGTTGTAAATGCACTCTGGACACTTGAATTATATTTTCTCCAACTACCAACTTCAGGCAACCATACTACTAAATGCAGTTAACTCCATAACCACCAATTCAGAATAATTATGAGTGGTAACAAGGGAACAGCACAGCACTTACCAATTCCAATCTGTATAATGGTAAACTTGAAATACGGGTATGGTGGGCGTACAATTGTGGCAACAATTAAACCTATAATAGAACCAGATATGGTGGCAATGACAACGTTTACAGGGATAAACCACCTGATAAAATGAACGAATATCAGTTGAATCCACTATTTTGGAATTGCGTTGAGAAGTTTGTATTCAATCCTTACCACTGAAGCAGTTTCTCAAACGTAATGGCTTGTCCAAGTTGAGAGAACATCAAACATGGGAGCAAAAGTGAAAACACCAACTGCATAAAACCATGTAGTGACATCAATTGGAGATTAAAATGAAGCAGTCTAAGTGTGTGTGTGTATATATATATATATGTATATATATGTGTGTGTGTGTGTGTGTGTGAGAGAGAGAGAGAGACAAACATCATATACTAAATTATGAACTCAGAAGTACAATGGTGTTAATAACTTTAAAGATTGTACCATTCCTAGATCCGGCATGCCTACAATGTATTCCCTATCTAATAATGATCGATCGATGATATAAAAAAGAACTAACCCCATCTAAAAGCTTCCTTCCATTGGCTGGCAAAATATTAACATACTTGGAGGCCATGAGAAATCCCATGAAGCAAATGGTAAAAACTTTTGCTATGGGCAAAACAGCAATCCTAATGGTCCCCATTAAAGACTCTCCTCCTTGCTGCGGTTGCAGAAGAAGCTCCATCTTTTCAGGCTAAAGATTGAGATTCTTTTACAAAGTTTAATTTTGGTCGTAGCACTCCAAGAGCTTTGCTCCTTTCTGCAAATAATTAACAAACAATGCTCCAATTACTTATCATTCTAAATCAAAGGTTGATTCTTGGTCTGTTCAATTAACAAGCATCTTAATGATAAAGAAAAGTTAAAAACTTAGGAAAGGGTTGTCAACATAAAAAGACGAATACTGTTGCTATAGATTCACAATTGATAGATGTTGTAGAAACTAGTGTATGAAAAAGCAGACCTACCAAAAAGGGGAATCTTTCAGGCCATTCAATTCAAATGTAGTCTATTATTAGTACTGACATGCAAATAAGAGTTTCAAGTCGTGAAAATAAACCCACCAAAAGAAAAGGTGAGGACGAAGAAAGAGGAAGGGAGTTCAGAAAGCAATCATCGAAAAGGGTATACTAAAGGAGTTATTTGTACAGCTTCGCGAATATTCATGACAAGAAAATGATGCGAACTGTCATTCAAAAGTTAAATGATTGATGTAGAAGTTTTAATTTGCAAAGGTTTGGACATATAGTATTTGAAGGGGGAAAAAAATTAATTTTTGAAGTTTAGTTGAGAAATTTGAAAATTAAAATTGTACTCCATCGAACACGTACTTTATTTTAAACAAAATGTTTAGTTTTGTGAGGGAAAAAAGTTTCACTTATTGAAAACTCATCTTCAAAAAATCCTTCCGGTGTATGATCAAACAATAAAAAAAAATATTATCTGTATACGGTGGTTAGTACTTCGTACGTACTGGTCGAAATGGTAATGCATTGGATCGAAGATCAGATTGAAGTCTGAAGTCAGGTCATCAAGCTTCGAGCCCTAGGAACCGATCAATGTCGAGCTCGATATCATTATCGAGCTCGAATCCAAATCGAACTATGATGAAGTTATCGCTCTTACGAGGCAGAGACCGACCAATACTGTCCCCGAATCAATATAAGGCTCCGAATCACATTCGAGCTCGAGTACTGATAGAGAGCTCGGGTCGATGTCGAGCTCGAGTCAATATCGAGCTCATAGACAAGAGCCGTTGCAACCGCACTAGAGGAGAGAATCCTGACAGGAATTATGGAAAAGCTGATTTATCATGGGTCTTCCACTATGTATTTTTAATTATATCTAAAGTAGGATCCCTCCACTATAAAGTGGATGGTTATTATTTCTGTAAGATACCAAGTTTCTACATATATTGTAACTGAGATATCATACAGCCACATATTGAAGAGTTATCCTTTTCTGGTTTGATAGATTGATTCATCTTGCTTAATCCATAAATCATCTTCTTTCCAACTTTGCTTATTTTTCATTCTTTGCAATCAATATTCGATATTTCCATTTTACTCTTACGATTTGTGTCAAGTTATACCACATACACTTAGAACTACGTACAAATTCAACTCTATCCGTTTTTCGGGTAAACAGTTTGGCGCCCACCGTAGGGCTAAGGATAACAGTGATTATTTAGTACAAATCCGCAAAACACGCCATTTTACGCTTGTTTCCGGAAGCGTCTTTGATTTTGGATTAGCAACGACAAGCTATCAATTAAATGGCCTTACCTATCGATAACGAAGCCGGTCTTCAAGGTGAGAACAACAACTTGACACCCAGGACCGAAAGGCCGCTTGTCGACGCCATTGAAGCTCGAGTCGAAGTGCCATTAGACGTTAATTCGCATGTGGTCATTGAGGCAAACCTACATTCTGAACATGAAAATAGCATTCATGGTGGCACTCGATCTGCAGCTCGAGATACCCATATCGTCGAAGAAAACGGCGCCAGCTTACGCATGATTTTCGAAATGTTGCAAGCTCAACAGACAGCAATAGCTCAGTTACAGAGTCAAACCCAGATACCGAGCAGGTCGGAGCCCAGTCCACCCCGAGAAATCGCCCACAGAACGGAACCAGCTATAGTAAGGTCAAATGAGCAAGAGTCGGGGACTAATCCCGAAATTGCTAAGATGTTTGAAGAACTGACCAAAAGAATAGAATCAGGTGAAAGGGGGATCGAAGCAAACGACAAAAAAGTGAAAACATATAACTCCAGGGTTGATCAGATCTCGGGGGCACCAACGATATTGAAGGGCTTATATTCCAAACAATTCGTACAAAAGCCTTCCCCACCAAGCGCGGCTCCTAAACCAATCCCAAAGAAATTCTGAATGCCCGAGATTCCTAAATATAACGGAACTACCGACCCCAACGAACATGTCACCTCTTACATATGTGCCATCAAAGGGAACGACCTAGAGGACGATGAAATCGAATCCGTATTATTGAAGAAATTCGGTGAAACCCTGTCAAAAGGAGCAATGATATGGTATCATAATTTACCATCTAACTCTATCGATTCTTTTGCTATGCTTGCAGATTCCTTCGTAAAAGCACACGCCGGGGCCATAAAGGTCGAGACCAGGAAGTCGGACCTGTTCAAGGTAAGACAAAAGGATAACGAGATGCTAAGGGAGTTCGTATCTTGTTTTTAAAATGGAACGAATGGATCTGCCACCAGTCACAGACGATTGGGTTGTTCAGGCTTTCACTCGAGGTTTGAACGAACGAAGTTCGACGGCTTCACGGCGGTTGAAGCATAACCTGATTGAGTACCCAACTATTACTTTGGCCGACGTGCATAATCAGTACCAATCAAAAATTAGAGTCGAAGACGATCAGTTGGGGTCTGAACCCGCTGCTAGAAGGGATATCAATCGAGAATAAGATCCGATCAGGGACTGATACCGACCGTATAGTGGAAACCACTGAATCAATAAATCGAGACATAACCCCGGACAAGGCAACAAAATAAGTGATCGAGGTCAAGGGTCTCGGGGACTGATGAACAGAAATGGGTTCGACAGGCCTACCGGACCTAAGGAAGCACCACGGTTATCAGAGTATAACTTCAGCATTGATGTATCCGCCATCGTGTCGACTATCAGACGCATCAATGACACTAAATGGCCTCGACCCATGCAGACTGATCCTGCCCAGAGGAATCCCAATCAAATGTGCGAATATCATGGCACCCATGGCCACAGAACAGAAGATTGTAGGCAATTAAGAAAGGAGGTAGCCCGATTATTCAATAAAGGGCACCTTCGAGAATTTTTAAGCGACAGGGCCAAAAACCATTTCAAAAACAGGGATTTCGGCAAACAAAATGAACAGGAAGAAACACAGCACGTCATCCACATGATCATCGACGACGTCGATACCCCTCAAGGGCCGGTGCTTAAACGCACTAAGACATCGGTTATGAGAGAAAAACGACCTCGAACTCAGGATCACGCACCCATAGGAACCTTGTCCTTTAATGATGAAGATGCAGAAGGAGTCATGCAACCTCATAACGATGCACTGGTAATAACTGTACTTATGAATAAAACTAAAGTTAAGCGTGTGTTAATTGATCCAGGTAGCTCGGCCAACATTATTAGATCGAATGTTGTAGAACAGCTCGGTCTACAGGACCAGGTCGTACCTGCAACCCTGGTTCTAAACGGATTCAATATGGCATGTGAAACCACCAAAGGCGAGATAATTCTGCCGATAAACGTGGATGGGACTATCCAGGAAACGAAGTTCCATGTAATCGAAGGCGACATGAGGTACAACGCCCTTTTTGGAAGGCCATGGATCCACAATATGAGAGTTGTACCTTCGACCCTACACCAGGTTCTTAAATTCCCAACATCGAAGGGAGTCAAAATAGTGTACGGAGAACAACCGGCCGCGAGAGAAATGTTTGCCGTCGAAGAAGCAATTCCGATATCCTCACCTTCATCAACAAAGAGGTCAGACTCAAAAGGGGAACAAGATGCCAAATAGCAATCACAGACGTTAGCTTCAACCCAACCAGAAAATTAGAAGATCGACGAAGATGATGATCAAAGGATCCCTCGATCCTTCGTGGTTCCCGATGATTCCGATGCTACCCCAATCAACGATTGAAGAATTGGAGCAAGTGATACTACTCGAGCATTTGCTCGAACGAAAGGTATACCTGGGAACGGGATTAACCCCCAAACTCAGGAAAAGGCTTATTCATGTAACACCCCGGAAAATTTTGAAGTATTTTAGTGTAAAGCCCCATAATTTTCGCAAGTGAATTCAAGGTTTCGTGGTGCTAGAGTAGGCTTACGTGTTTGAGGATGGTATAAGATCTTCGCTGCGAGCTTGCTCGTCGTGGTTCGGACTTTTTGGGTTGAACAATGCAGCCGTATAATGCGGCCCATTATGCGGCCGTATAATCACTCTGCGGACCGCATAATGGCCGTAGAGTGAAGCAGTAAGTTTGGCCAACTTGAGGTCCGTTTTGCGGTCGATTATGTGACCGCATAATCGATATGCGGACCGCATATCGGTCACATAGTCCCTCTTGGGTTTTTGTGGAGGGAGTTCTGTGGTGCATTATGCGGCCGCAGAACGAGTATACGGACCGCATACCTGGGCCGAAAGTTCAGTCCCCTGAGGGCCATTTCTGCGGTCACTTTGTGGACCGCATAACCATTATGCGGTCGCATATGCGACCACAGACCTATATCGGGGCGCCCATTTTCTTAATTTAAAACCCGACCCCCATTCCGTTAAAATACCCCTTTAGTCTATTTTGAAGCTCATTTATGATATTTCTAGTGTGAGAGAGAGAGGGTTCTAGAGGGAGGGCCTAATTTTCATCAATTGATCTTCAACCATCACTCAAAGCCTTGGAAATATTCAAGTAGAGCACCAATATTCTTCACCCTAAAAGGTAAGGCTTCATCACCCCAGCTCTTAATTTCAAACATAGCTATAATGGGGTATTAGTGTGATACTTCATGGGTATGAGGGTGGTTCATCTTGCATGCATGTGATAAAGAGTGTGGGAAAAATAAAAAGTGAACTAGAACCATGAACGTTTTCCTAATTTTGGGTTCAATTTGTATATTGCTAAAATAGATTGAGGTTGCTAAGGGTTCCGGATAATTGTAGAGTCTAAAGAAGCGCGATTGAGGTATATTGGCTAAACTTTCTCTCTTGGAATTGAATTCCATAATGTTTCTGTATGTTTCAAAGTGTGGGTTATGTATTAAAAGGTTATGGCTTTAAGTCGTGTTTCAATGAAAAATAGAATTGTCTAAAAGCTTTTGTACTAAATTCATGCCCATTAGTGGCTGCTTTAACTAATGCTTTGATTTATAAATATATCCAGTGTGATTCGAGTTCTATATACTCATGTGTTGAAATTGTACATTGTCATTTCTGGGGGAGAGTATTGCAAGAGTAAATGGTGTATTGACTGTTTATGATTTTTCATGTGTGTTTCTACTGTTGGTTGGTATGCTTTATTCTTTGGGAAGAAATCATTTGTGTTTGAAGTTTCCATTTCAAATGGATTTGAAGTATATGATTTCTAAAATATCCTATATGTTGATACTTGATGATGATCTTTGAAATTGAAAGAGGTGAAAGTGTAAAATATGAAATA